ATACCCCTCCTCAAATGCGTCGAAGAGGAGATGGCCGCCCACGTCCTACGCGAGATCCACGAAGGAATTAACGTCCAACACCTAGGTGGGAGATCCCTTGCGAGGAAAGCTCTACGAGCACGTTACTACTGGTCGACCATGCAAAGCAAAGCGAAAGAGCATGTGAAGAAATGCGACAAATGCCAATGGCACGAGGACATGCTCCTAGCTCTACCCAACGAGCTCAAGGTAATGTCTTCCCCGTGGCCATTCACCTGTTGAGGCCTGGACATCCTGGGACCCTTCGTCGTAGGCTCCAACGAAAATAAATACTTAATAGTGGGCGTGGACTACTTCACCAAGTGAATAAAAGCTGAGGCCATGTCCAAGATAACGGACCATAACATACTTCGTTTCTACAAGAGAAACATCCTTTCCCGTTTTGGCATTCCTCAAGCGATTGTCACAGACAACAGGACACAGTTCATGGACAAAAAATTCTAGGAGTTCGTCGCTCAACTTGACACTAAACAACATTTCGCATCTGTTGAGCACCCGCAGACTAACGGGAAAGTCGAAGCGACAGACAAGGTAATCTTACGAGACCTCAAACGAAGACTGGATGAAACAAAGAGGAAGTGGGTCGAGGAGCTGCACAGCGTACTCTGAGCCTACCGCGCTATACCTTATTCATCAACCGGGGAAACCCCTTTTCACCTAGCATGCGGGACAGAGGTGATAATCCCCATCGAGACCCACGTACCGTCCAAGCGAATAGAAGCACCTTTGGACGAAGAAACAAACAACGAGGCCCTGAGGGAAGAACTCGACCTCGTCGAAGAAGTTCGGTCAGGGGCAGCTCTCCGAGAAGCCTCACTCAAACAGAAAATCATGATTAGGCACAACGCCAAGGTCATCCGACGAGAATCCAAAATAGGTAACCTCGTCCTAAGGAGGAATCACAAAGATTCCTGAGAGGGCAAGCTCGCCGCGAACTAGGAGGGACCCTATCGCGTTAGAGAACAAATGGATGACAAGGCCTACTACCTAGAACACCTCACTGGGGAAGAATTAGCTCAACCATGGAACGCCGAAAAGTTGAACAATATTACGGCTAAGGCCCTCCGCTGTCGACGTGCCTCGCCCAGGTGGCGGATACGATAACTGACCATAGGTGCATGCCCAAGTATAAGCGATGCACCATCGAAAAGGATCTAAGCAAGGGCCAGGCGAAGAGACCTACCCATGCTCGACGGTGGTTCCTCGGTCGAGCCCGTCGTTGTCACAGTACCATGAACGACAGAATCCCTAGCTCGCGATGGGAAGTTCACGCTGCGAACTCAGGCCACGATCGTGACCTGAGTTCCGCCCATTCCTGGACACAACCCGGGCCTTTCGACCGGTTCCCCACACTATCAAATGTTATTCTCCTAGCATACCTGGTACATAACAAATTACTAAGTGCCTCTAAAGACGGTGTTGGACGATGCAGGACACTTAGAAAATATTAGACAAGATGCAAATAATCACACAACATTTTGATAAATATTAAGATAACGCGGTCCCGATGGGCCGCTGTTGTGCACGATACAATGAAATGGGGACAAGCCCCCACAAAATAAAATTACACAAATTACAACATTAATTAGGTGGCACGCATGCCAATGCATAAATTAGGGAAAGCTCACTGCTCCTCTTGTTGAGCCTCCTCTCGAGTCACCTGCCCCTGCTCTTCACCACCTTCACTGAACTGGAGGAAATCGGGGACGACTATATGGCCCTCTTTGACCGTATAAAGGAACCCTGTGCCCTCTGTGGTCAGCTTGACCCCAAGGTCGTTTGCGGCCTAAGTAAATAGAGTGACCAGCTCTGACCGAGTCAACAACTTTTTCGTCTCCTCAGGCTCATCCTCAGCGGGGGCAACAACGGCTTTCAACTTCGCCACCAAGTCCTCGGCAGCTTTCATCCAGGTAGCCAGGGCGTCCTTCTCCGAAGCCATCTCCTCGCGACCCTTGCGTGCAGTCTCTTCGGGCTCCCTGGATCCCAAGCTCCCCGACGACGGTATTTCTGGCGTTCAAGAAAGTATTCATCCAAACACAAGGAAGCTCACGTCGACTATGCCCGAGAAGCAGACCATCCTTAAGTCATCGCTACCGTGCTTGATAACAACTACTTAAGGGGCTACTGTTCCGGGCTGACCTAATGGCTAGGCATGGCCCAATCCACTTCTGCTCCTAGAGCGACCCAATTGCCTAAGTCCAACATCTTTGGTGGAAAGTTTACCTTTCTGCCCCTCCAACAGGGGAGGCTGACCAATTTACCCTCGATCACAACACCTCACCCCATTAGTCTCTGCCCGTCACGCACGGTTCCACCGTCTAGAAACGGTTAAAACGCTTGTGCCCATAACTATACCTCTGCCCGTCCCAACGGCTAGTTATGGGCATGTTTGCCCGTCTCAACGGTTAGTTCTGGCAGTTACATATTCTTCGGGAAACAATTATCTCGCCCCAAAAACAGGGACCATTGGCCAAGCGTTGGGGGCACGATAAAAATCCTCTCACTTGAGAGGGTCAGGTATCAAAATATTCACCCTGAAACACTCATATTTTGTACTTGCTCTCTCTCTCTCTCTTGCTCGTTTTCTTATTTTAGCATCGGAGTGCCTTGCAGGTACACCCCTCCTCCTCTTTCACACCCAGCATCACAGACGTTTGTCTTTGCCCAATCTCAGGTTCTGATCGACTAGTAAGATCAGGTTCCAATATTGTTGGATCTATAAATGTGTTTGACCAACTTCATCCTTTGATCTAGATTTTAGGATGAGATCAAACATATTTAAAATGGTATCATAGTTATTCAAGATTCGTTGGACCACCTGCTATCACATTTTTGCTATCAAGCCACCCACATTTATATCCAAGCACAAAGCTCAATAGTATTGGACATGAGACGGTGTGTTAAGAGTCTAACATTAGATAATATGTGACATGAACATATATTTATAAATAGAGACAATCATCACCTTACAAGTCGATTTTGTTAGTTTAAGTTAGCCTTAACCACAATTTTAAGACTATTTATTCAAACTTAATTCATGCCAAGACATTTGATAAAATCGACGTGAGTAGTTAAACCCGATGAAAAAAATGACTAGCTAACCTCTTCCACAATATTATTTGTGTTTAATTGATATTTTTAATTTATGTTGCGGTATTATTAGTGCATTATGTTGATTGTTTTTTCTTTTTGAAATCTTGATATCTGGCCTTGCGATCGACTAATCAAATGGGACAAATTCCACCGTCTACTTGCAGGGGGTTGTTTAAAGTTAAACAAAGTTTTGTATGAATATAACCCAACACGAGAATTGCTTGTACCTAACAAGATTCAAACATGAGATTCTTAAGATGAGTACACTCTCAAAGACCCGAGTTTCATCACTAGGCTAACCCCTGGGGATTATGCATTATATTGTTAAATTTGATTTAACGGAATATTGATATTCATTATGTTGTTTATTAAGTTTATCTAATTTGAAATCTAATACTATCGAAACATGTGATGAATCCTAATATCAAAAGGATGTTTTTGCAAAATAAAAAATTTATGAGAGAATTGAGTACAAAGAACTTCACCTTGAAATAAGTTATAGTTTGGAGGGGTTGAATGAGTCCAACCGCCATTGAATATCAAAAGATAGTCCAAAATGCAATTTCTCGATATACCTACTCATTTAAATATATTAGAATATATTCCCAATGTATCATATTATAAATGAAATTTACCTTTCTTTATGCAAAAAAAAAATCATAAAAGGAAAAGAAAATACAAAAAAAATGGGGAACATAAAACCGACCCAACAATTACATATCAACCTTAAATGAAAAACAAAAAAACAAAAGAGTCAAATGCAAAGCAAATAAATATACATAAAAGCACAATCTAGCAAACCCAATGCGGAGCTAAAAACCAAATTGCAAAAGAACTATGTGTAAAAATAACCCAGCATTCTAAAATAAACTAGACACGAGCCTAGAGAATCAAACTCGTCTTTTTAAGAATGGTCAATGTACTTACCGCTAACACAAACAATACACATACCAACGGTTCATGTGAATTGAAAATCACATAAATTTAATAGCCATTTCGAGACAAACCAACCCAGACATCCGAATAAACATAAACAGAACAACACATCGATAAAGGGTTTTAACGAGCATGGGAGCACTGGTTCGGTGACGAAGGCCCCAAACCTGTTGAAACCTATATATCTCAATATATCTAAAAAGAACCAGAGATCAAAGGCAAAAAACCACCACTAACACCGATGAAACATAGCTTGAGAACAACAACAATGAGTCTAATCTATATATAAACCAGATACATAAACTATTCAATGAATTAAAAAAATTAAAATTTATGTATAATATGGAACAGTGGGAGTACTCTCCAATCACTATTATAAGAAAAAAATAATAATAATCTTAAATCTTGAACACTAAAAATCTTGATCACTAAGAATATAAGCAAAAATACCCAAAAATTATATTTTCAAAATGGACAATTCGTTTGCTGCCTGCAATTAAAATGGAGTAGCCTTCTACAAGAGATACCGTTAATGCTTTTGGTGTCATTAACTGAGGGATCAAAAAATTAGCTGAGGTATCAATATCATTCATTCCCCACAAATCCATTATATTAGGTTATTATAGACCATTGCTTGCATTTGGAATTAGAATCATTTTGAAAGTTTTATTCTACTTAAAGCTATTTCAATCCTCTAACGACTGTCTTAGATTATATCCTAAGCAAACATAAACAAGGACCATGCATGTCCTCATCATGAATGGCAAGGAACTTTTTCCACCCTAAATGCACTTTGGCTTTTAAGAAACAATTAGCAGGAGTTAAGTTGCATCTAATCAAAAGACTACAATACTCAGAACAAATTCTCCTTTTATAAACAAAATTTTCAATTTCTTTCAATGCATATTTTTTTATGTACTATTCTGTTTGGTTTACTCAATGCAGCTCTTTAAATGATGGGTATGTTTTGATATTGATGATGAATCTGCGGTTGAGCATACACTTTGACCATTAAAATATACTTCTCTTTCTTCATCGTCATCCAAACCCAACATGCTGTCTTCTTCTTCTTCTTCAGAATCTGATTCACTCATTGACAAGTTTCCATTTTTAAAGTTATCTTCGGATTCTGATAGGTCCGTCTGTGAGGAATCTGCTTCTGTTTCTGAAAGATAATAGCTACTCGAGTCAAGGTTCTTTTCACCATGATTCCTCTTTCCGTTGGAGTTTCCACTTGGACCGTCGAGTATAGACAAGGGATTGCGGTTGCTAGGGTCACCATAAAGTGCAACGTGTCTGTGATATAGCTCCAATTCTTTCTCCGCGATCGCAATGAAGCGTCTCACTGACTCGAGTGATTGCTCATACTTTGATTTTTCAAGTGCCTGCGGTAAAAGAAAAGAGAGTTAAAAAGAAAGAAAGTCACTAATAAATCATTGAAAAAGCATTTCCGTCCAAAAATCTGCATTCTCAATTGCAGATCTTGGAAAATAGAAGTTTATTCAAATTCCGCTACACGGCAGTGTTATATCGCCGCTATAGTTGCTATTTCACAACATTTTGTTTTACATATCGTATCACAGAACAATAAAAATTTGTTCCAATTCTTTTTAAATGATATGATACAAAAAAAACTAAACTAATGATGAGATTCATATTAAAAAGCACAGAAACACACCTTTTTCTTGGATAATGTATCTATGGGCGACATAACCTCAGGTTGTATATAGTTCTTTCCGCGATAAAATATTATAGTGTCATCACCAATGATGTGAATCGGAATACCGCCACTCAATCTGGCAAGTTCTTGTGCATACTCATGTACTTGACCAGGTTTACAAGGCTTGCATATGCACTTAACGGTCTCGTGTTTCTTCCAATGCAAATGCATATTGAGAATAACCCCTCCAAATAACCCTCTTCTTCCAACTTGTAGATAATTAGAACTCTTCTGAGCCATTTTCTTCAGATAAAACCGTTCCTCCCCCGTTAAGCCATCTGGTTTTACATCGGGACCATGTGCTTTAGCAACTTCATATCGTTTGAGTCTTTCAATGAGCAACGCTTCTTTGACTCTCGCCTGGGGTTAAGATCAGAGTCAGGCAAAGTTTTAGTACAATGACTAGGCAATTAGCATTTCAAGATGTTCTCATCGAACACTTTAGGAGGAAAAATACAAGATTATACAATAGTCGAGTTATTCAAAATAGAGCTTCTCATATAACCTGAAACTAACTTCTGCATCTCAAATTTTCAAAAACACTTCCATCTAACTTCTCTAACAAAGCCATTAAAGTTGGAAAAATTTACACTAGAGTTGAGAAAATGTAGCTTTTAATTGCTTTTTCGTTTGCTTGTTTTGATATATGTTGCTCTCATGAATGATTAAGTGTCGAAAGAACATCAAACCAAAAGATAGAGCTTACATTGTCAATCTTGAACTTGATTCTCTCTTCTGGACTGGCAAACTTCTGTTTCTTTTTCTTCCCTTTAACGCCAAGTCGACGAGGATCTCTCCTATTCGCCGCTTTCCTCTTCTCCTTCTCTCGCTTCCTCTGCATCTTCAACCTCTTCTTAGTCTTCCACTTATCTTTCCTAGGAGCCTCAACCTCATGAGTCTCAAACTTTGTCTTCCCATCCCTTATCACAAGATTAACCTTCCCATAACTCAACTCCCTCAAACCCCACCAAAAACCTTGCTTCTCAAAAGGCACACCCCTCCCAACTAACCTAGAACACAAAAAAACCAAACCCACCACAATGGAAAACAAAGATAACCCACTTTAGCTAATCGAATATATTAATCATAACAATCATAAAAATTTGATTTTTGACTTGTAAATTAACTATAACCAACAAAACATGTTGTAATGAGAGGAATGAGAAAAAAACCTGGGAGAGACCAAAAACGAGGTAGCAGCATACGAGGATTTGATAACAGTGGAACCTCTCTGAATAATACGGAACAGCGAAGAAGCTGCCATGGTAAGAGATGAAGACAAACTCGATGAATGTGCTGTGACGGTGTTGGTGTTGTTATGGTGCACCACCCGTATTGGATCGGGTGGGTTATATCTCGGGTACTAACTTAACAGGCTAGGATCCATTTAATAATACACGTGTCATGTTTTTATTGGGTCAATATAAAATGTTGACTTTTTCATAGATAAGAACCGATAGGATTTTGACACGTAAGCGAGACACTTGGGAACTATATGTGCCTTACCTTACCTAAATCTCTTCCTTTGTATTCTGGTGTTTCTCTCTGAAGCAGCACTCAACGTAGAATCATAATTTCTAGCTTCCGATTTCACGATCATCGATTTTCTGAGTGAGTTTATTTTATTGTTTAATTATTGTATTTTTTGGAAATTCTATTGATGATTTTGATTCAGGTTGTGATTTTAGGGTTTTTGTATTCTTGTGATATGGGGAATAACTGTATAAGTAGCTGAATTGGAATATATTGAATCTTATTTCAAAGGGCATGGAGAAATTAACTCAAAATTGAAACTTGATGTTAACGGTCGCGTCGCGGTTGCGCAAAGGTTTTCGCGATTTTGGTCGGTACAGGTTGCTGTCGTTAATTTGTTCTTTAATATAGAAAACAGTGATAACGGTACTGGTAACGGCAACTGTCAAAACCGTTTTGTCAGCGGCCGTTTCTGCAGTCCGGACCATTTTTTAAAACCGTGGTTATCTTTGCTTTTATGTTTTTTGTTTTTGTATGATAGAAATATGCTTGTGATGTTTTTTGATATTTTAGAATAATATACTATACAAATTTGTAGGTATTTTTGTAGAATATATCACCTGAATATTGAAAATCTTACCGCAGATTTTCTGTTCTTGCAGTGGAGTTAGGGATTGATGATTCTGTTAATGACGAAACATTAAGAGACTCAGCCATGGTTGAAGTGGATAGCTTACGTGATGAAAACAGAGAAGAAGGAAGTTCTGCCGAGCCAGCTTACAAACAAGACCAAGATGGTAACATGACTCACGATTTTTCCGGAGCGTTAATAATACCCTCAGAAGTTCTCCCATTATCGGTCGCGTCTGCTGACGAGCCCTATGTGGGTCAGGAGTTTGAGTCGGAAGCAGCAGCACATGCGTTTTATAACGCATACGCAGCTGAGGTTGGATTCATTATACGCGTAAGCAAACTCTCGCGGTCAAGACGCGACGGAACTGCTATTGGACGCGCTCTTGTCTGCAACAAAGAGGGTTACAGAATGCCTGACAAGCGCGAAAAGATCGTTAGGCAAAGGGCAGAGACAAGGGTTGGTTGCAGAGCAATGATTATGGTGAGGAAAGTTGGTTCTGGTAAATGGGTCGTTACGAAGTTTGTAAAGGAGCACACTCATCCATTGAATCCCGGAAGTGGTAGAAGAGATTGCATGTTTGAACAATATCCGGTCAGTTCCTATACGTTTTCATGCACTCTTGTCGATTTAATTTTTTCCCTACTTACAACCTCTTTTGTTTCATGTCAGTCTCAGAACGAACATGATAAAATCCGCGAACTATCTCAACAATTGGCACTCGAGAAAAAGCGATCGGTGACTTATAAAAGACAACTTGAAGTGATATTTGATTATATCGAGGAGCACAATGTGAGCCTTTCAAAGAAAATACAGCACATTGTAGACAGTGTGAAGCAGATGGAACCTAAAGAAGAAGAACACAATCATTCATAGGTTCACCTTTCATTTATCTAGTCCTTTTTAAGTATCAATAATATTCAATCTACTGTCAGTGTCCAAAAGCGCTCGAAGTTGACATAGGTATCTACGTTTAGTATCGGTTGCTTCGATTGTTCAGAGTGATACAATGGTATTCATTGTCTTACTTTTTATGCTGTCATATTTTGGTTTAGTTGAAGAAACTAGTTCAATCAAATCAAATGTATAGATTATAGGTCCTTTGAGTCCATTCATATGAAGTTGCTGCTAACAATTGTGATAACTCATAAAAGGCATTGAAATGCCCTTATAAAAGCTTGATTATTCAACTTCTGATTTTGTAAAATTTGGTCCAAGCTTGTCCCTTCTGTAAAGTTTCAAAGTTACTAATACTATTGTCAATATATTTTTTTGTATGGAATAAGACTGTATGAGAATGCCGCGCCATCCGAATCCAAAGTACCCTCTATGAAATAGCGCAATTGTTAACCTGAACTTTTTGATTAAGATCATACTATTTATGTTTTAGTTTTGTCTTTTGACCTGAACTTGTCAAAGTTGAAACACAAATCATCTAACCTTGATTTGATGGTTCAAATTATGTGTTTGCGTCAAATGTGAATGATTTCGTAAAATTTCACCACCCAAAATACGAAACTCAGGAATCGACAGAAGAATAAAAGGAGAAGGAGAGGATCCAAATTCGAATATACTTTACATAACATCAAAATAAAATTATCAATTAACTAACCAAGCCTAACAAAGTGAAATAAAAAAAAAAATTTAGAAAAAAAGAAAGAGAAAAAGAAAAAGCACCCCTCTCACTATCTTGTCCCAACTCAAATAAAAAAAAAACACAAATCTCATCTTGTACACAGAAGATGCAAATTGAATGAATTGAATAACTAAAATGTTGGTGATGAAATGCATGCATGCATGCATTTCTTACAATGCATTACATTTATATAAATACATAAATATATATATATAGCTAGGCTAGGCTAAACAGGAAATGAATTTTAAAATTATCCAAGAGCACTGAATCCTCCTCCTTTCATCATTTGCTTAAACTCTTTGTAATTAACCATACCATCACCATCAACATCCACCTTCATAATCATCTTCTTACATTCCTCAACGGTTCTTCCTTGTTTAAGACCAAGAGATGACAAAACCACTCTTAGCTCCTCAACCGTTATGAAACCGTCTCCATTTTGATCAAATACATTGAAAGCCTCCCTCATATCTTCCTCTTCGTCGCGTTCGTCCATGATGGATTGATACAATTCTCCGAACTCGTCTAAATCTACACAGCCGTCTCCGTTGACGTCGATCTTCTCGATCATTTGTGTTAACTCTTTGTCGGGTATGAAGATTCCTAAATTCTCCAACGAATCTGTTAATTCTTTTTTTGTTATTCTACCGTCCCCATTCTTATCGAACATCTGGAATACGCGTTTTAGCTCGGTCGGATCCATTGTTTTTTATTGTGGTTGATTGTTTTATTTGTTGAATTGAAGAACAAGGTGGAGGAATAGTTTTTATGATTTGATTAGAGGAGGAGGAGGAGGGGTTTCAGCTTGATCTTGATCTTGATGTTTGGGACAAGACAATACAAGAGAAAACAAATGAGAAATGAAAAGTACAAGGTTTCAATGTAAAGAAAGGAAGGTATAATAATGATCCTTAGAAAAATAGGTGGCATTTGTGGTGTTTGTTTCTTGTTCTTTTTCTTGCTATGCCTTAGACTTTGGCAGAGAATTTTGGGGATGAAATCTAAATAAAGAAATACACAAGATAAGATGAGATAAATATACATGGGAGTTAATTCAAAAGACAATAATAATATTGTTCTAAATTTTTTTCATTAGTCTATTGTTCTCAATTTTATTTTTATTTTTAATTTTATTTCTCATCTTTTTATTATTTATTTGGTATTTATCTAAAAGACAATTTACTATAAAACTACACTTATTGACAAAATAGTAAAATAAAATATAATCAAATATTTCAATGATAAATATTAACATATCATATTTCAGTGTTAAATATTAACATATGTCAAACATATTTTTGATCAGAAGTGTTGATGTTATTCACACAACATATTTTATCATTTAAAAATAAGTTAAATAAATTTTTGAATCCTAGAAATTGTGAGTGTGTTACTACAAGTTGTTTGTAAATGATTTTTTGAATCCTAGAAATTGTGAGTGTGTTGCTACAAGTTGTTTGAATTTGAATGTATTAATTTTTGTTTTTTCTTTTATAAAACTAGTTAGGAATAAATTTGTAATTGAAGAAAAAAATTACATTATTAGTGAATATATATTTATGAATTACATGTAACTAATATTATTTGTGTGGTAGAGAATCATATATAAATAGCAAATGCACGAGGAATAATTGACTTTAATGAAACTTTTGATTTAAATGTAAAATAAATAATTGATTTTAATATAAAATAAAATTAGATTTTAGATATGAAAAATTTGTTTTCCAAACCAATACCAATCGAAGGTGGTTAATAGGCTGCAAAAAAGTAGTAGGCAATATGGGTTTGTCTATTTTAACTTTATAAAGATAGATTTTTGTCTTTGTATTTTTTAAAATAAATTTATGAAATAATTTTTAAAATATTATAATTTTTTAAAATTTGTTTCGTAATCGAGAGACTAATTTTGATATTTTATGACATAAATATAAATTATTGAAATTGCAATTTTTTTTAAAAGTTGTATTTTAAAAATGATTTTAAAATAAAATTGTTTAAAATAATTTTAAAATTAAGTGATTTTTGAAATTTTACATTTAAATATAGTTTTAATAAAATAATTAAATATCAAAAATAGTATTTTAAGAATAATTATTCAGACTATATTTTTATAAAAAGTTTTTTTTATAAATTTTTTTAAAACAAAAGTATATATCATTATAAAAATCACTTTTAAAAAAAACTGAAACAAACGAACCATGTCGAATTCAAATTTAAATCTTCCTCAACTTAAATTGTCTGCAATTTTTAAAATCAACAATAACCATTTAAAAACAAACACACATGGTAAAAAAGTATCATGAAGATTATTCAAAAGATAATAAAAAATATTTACAAGTTTATTGTTTATAAAAAATTCAAATTTAATATGTATCATAATAAATAGATGTAAATAAACTTTTGGTGTCTCTATTTAAATGTTTTTAACTTTTAGATTCCTCATTTGAAATCTATTTTTTTTTTTTTATCTTTTAACTTTATTTTTTTTTGGAATTTTTGTATTCCCCATTCATTTTTACAAAAATGTGGACTCCTCATTTAATACGTGACACTATTAATGTGAAATCAGATAAGCTTTTATGTCTTTTTAATTAAAAATATTTTTATTAGAAAATTATTAACATAATTTAAATGCATTATTTATATTAATTTAAAATATATTATATTTGAAACGTGAAAGTGAGTCCAGAAAACATGCTCTCTCTTAAATTGAATGAACCCTAATCTTTTTTCTTTTTTCTCCTTCAATTCAATCCAAACTTCAATTGTTCCCAAACTCAATTAACATCGTAGCTCAATCGAATTCAAGCTCAATCATCATCTACAATTCTTGCAGCTTAATCAAGCATAGCTCATTCAACCAACAACAAATATTTTCTAGAATTCAAATTTTGTTCTTGTGAAGATGAGAAAAGCACATTCTCAATGAGATAGCACTGAAGAAGTCAAGTATTGTGTAAGGTATGTTTTTTTGTTCCCTTTGTTGTATCACCATGATTCCAATATTTTTTCTTATTTGATTCTTATGTTGTGGTCCACCGTGGTTTTTTAATGTTAACTTGTGGTCCGACTTGTCTTGTTGTCTGGTTTTTTTGTTGTGGTTCTATTGCATGTTAATTTATTTTAAAAAATCGATTAATTCTCAGGACGCCTAAGAGTCATAAGATTAGGTTAAGGTTACACCATAGGGGAGATTAGTTAAGGAACTTGTTAAATGGTATGTTTATGAGGAAGTATCTGAGATGAATCCGATGTGGGATGTGGATTACATGTTTAACGTACCTCGAAAAAATACGATCTTTCGCGATGGGACGTGGAAAAAATGTTCAAAAAGAGTCGCTACCAAACTTTATTCATTCTAACGAAGGAATAGGAAAATATCGATAAAACCTTTAAAGATAAGAACATGGTCATCGCAACCAAATTCTAGGTTCCGAAGTCGATTACGCAATGGGAAGGTATTAACACCCCTCACGTCCGTTGCACTTAACGGGAACTGATAACACGAAATCGTATATATATTTTGATGCATAATTCAACTAACGTTTAACTGTTTTCGATCCGATTTCGAGTTATTTTCGTGTTATTTGTCTGATACTTTGCAGGTATTTGATGATCATGTCTAACAAGGCAATATGAAGAAAATAAGCAATCTCAGATGAAATATGGACGAAAACCGGATGAAAACAACATGAAAAACGCAGAATGCTAATTTTGCTGCTGTGACGACCGTCACAGCTCCATGACGACCGTCACACGGGTGACGACCGTCACACATTGTGACGACCGTCATGCAGGCAAAAACGCCCCACTTCAAATGCACGTGAAAGAAGTAGTTCCAAGTCCCAAATAGTGGACCACTACTCCCTGATAATTCTGCCTCAAAGTCCACCTTCTTCAAGTTATAACCGTTAGAATTCCATTTCTATAAAAGGGGAAGGAGGGGAGCTGAGAAAGGGAGCCGCATTCAGACAACGAAGTGCTGCCAATTTATCTTCAGAGCAACCTTTCCAGTTTTTAATATTCTTATTTGTTTCTCTTTTCTTTTTCTGCATTCCTTTGATCCTTCTGTAATTCTTATTTCCGTTGTACGATCAATTGGCACAAGACCAGAATCCTGCCAACATTTGTGGAGGATCTGCCCAAAGGTCAATTGGAATATTTACAGGTTTCTCATTTTAATCGTAATTCCAGTTTCTATTATGATGCATGCTATTATTTATTGTTTTTATTTATGTTTTACCTTTCCCAAATCCATGTCTAGCTAAATCAAAGTAATCGATATGTAATAATAATTCGGAAGGGATTTGATAATAATCGGTTGAAAATTGTCTTTTTCAAAAGTTGTTTATGGTCTGAGTGTTTAAATTAATTTACTGAATAAACTTCGTCGCGAAAGCGAGAACTTATTTAAAAGTAGTTTTGCCACGAAAGTGGGAAATTAATTAAGGTACGAACCAACAAGCGAAAGCTGCGGCAAGACCAGATAGTAAATACTAGTCATTCGTTTTAATAACAGCGAAAGCACTTTAAAATGAATTAGAACTTATAGATTTCCAAAAAATAGTTTTAACCCCGAATGGGACACGAAAGCGTACGTTTGGCCCTTAGAATTATGATTAGCGTCAATAACCATCGTGAGACGAGAGTCTTCAGATCACTATTTTCTGCTTAAATAAACTTTGAAAAATATTTCATATACCGGTAACTTGTCAAATCCCCGAAGAACATAATTACTGCATATCGATTCACGTGATTATAATCTAAGTAACATTTTTAGTTCCCTTTAGTGACAATCTTATTCCCTTAAACATTATCTACCTAGCTAAACATAGTAACTCCTGAGAACACTAGTTTGATTACGAGTCCCTGTGGGATCGATATCTATTATTACTACACGATAGATTGTGCACTTGCAGTTAGGTTGTATTAGACATAGAAAGTCGTGATCAAGTTTTTGGCGCCGTTGTCGGGGACCCGTTTAGTCAATAGTGTAACCTTCTGTTACGCCGTATAGATTAGGTTAACTATTTTCATTTTTCCTTTACTAGTGTTGTCGATTGTATGCCAAGTGATCGCCCACAAGGCGATATCTTGAAACCTTCAGTCGCAGAACTAGAACGCTTCTTACATCTAAGAAGCCGAATCATTGAGAACCAACTCAAACATAACATTCCCGCCTCTCACTCCCATTCCCAAATCCGAAGAAGAATCAAACATGGCCGAAGGACCTCCAAACAAACCGCTGAAGGCATACACTACACCCTCTCAGATGGAGCCTAGAAGTAGCATTGCTGCCCCAGCTATTACTCGAAACGATTTTGAGCTGAAACCATCATTGCTGTCAGCTGTACAACAAAACCAATTCTCAGGAAACGCAACTGAGGATCCAAACGAACATTTAACGAAGTTTGTACAATACGCAGACACAGTGAAAGCAAATGGAGTAACTCTAGACGCGATAAGACTTCGTCTTTTCCCATTCTCTCTTAGAGACAGAGCGTGGACATGGTTACAATCCTTACCATCCAACTCTGTTACGACGTGGGAACAATTGAAGAACGTCTTCTTAGCAAGATATTTTCCGCCAAGCAAAACTGCTATGCTTAGAGCTCAAATCAACGGATTCCGACAAAAAGATACTGAATCTCTTTACGAAGCATGGGAATGATTCAAAGATATGATGAGAGCATGTCCTCACCACGGTTTAGAAGACTGGGTGACAATCCATACTTTCTATAATGGGCTTTTATACAATACCAGATTGACAATAGACGCTGCCGCAGGCGGTGCACTTATGGATAAGCCATACGACGAAGCCTACCAACTAATAGAAAACATGTCTCAGAACCACTGCCAATGGGGAGGTGAACGCACTCCAACAGAGAAAACCACAGCGAAAGGTGGGATGTACGAGATCAGCAGCCTTG